CCCCCAGTTTCCCTTCCTTCACTGCAGAGTCATCTCCTTAAATTGTTTATGGTTAATACACTTTGAAAATAGTCATGATATATGTCAGAATAGCTACACAGTCACAACCAGGGTTGTGGTTCTTTTTTAACAGTAGGAAACTAAAAGACTAAGTTTCATGTGTGTACACAAGTGTTAGGGTTGACCAATGAACCTTACTTATTTCAACTTTACCTTCAGAGGTTTAGGTTTTTCACCTCATGGCACACACAGGGTCTCGTCTAGTCAGTTGAAATAAAGTTTGTTCAGAGATTACAGTAGAGCTAAAGTTAACTTCTGTGCTGCCTTTATATGTGTCACCTGAGTTCACCTTTGGCACTCCCTGTTAACTTTGTATTGATGCTAATATCACCTCCACCTGGAGGGGTGGCACAGAGCAGGGCATTAGGTGCACTTTCTGAAAACTAGGTCTGTCAGGATAAGTTACACTGGATTCCTTTCATGGCAGTGTTTTGGGATTCCTTATGGAGTTGGCAGAGTTTCTCACATAAAAATATACTAACAAGCGAAGATGGAAGCTGCAAAAGTTAATGGAAGCTGGGTTAAGGTAGCAAGCACATGGGTGATTATTAGAGGACAGGCAGGGTCTTTTACCTTGTTTATAGCTGAATGGCCCACTGCTGCTAATATAAGTGGTACAAGGGGCAACTTGAGTGTAACAAAGGCACTAAACTGAAGTACCTTGTTTCTAAACGAGAAAGGAGTGGCTCCCACTGAAATTACAACAAATATCTGCTTTCCCCCCCTAGTATCTTTAAATGCACGATGAGTTTTATGACTATTGTATTAACAAAAAAAATATGAAATCAGCAGAAGAACTTTGGAGACTTGAATACTGCATGAAATATCAAAGAATACAGTAGTTCCCTGCAGTGCAGCAACTATGAAAGCACACATTTTATCCCTTTTGGAAGGCCAGTCACCTGTCTCAAACTTAGCAGTTTGAGAAACTGATTTGCTCAGTTCCTAGAAGTAGACTTGTGGGTATGAAAACTGGTGTTTAGCATATGGGTTTTAAAATCTGTTGTTATTAATTTTTACTTTTACACTGGAATCTTCAACTGGAAAGTTCATAGTTCAGTTAAAAAAAAATAAAGATAGGCTTTTTTCTTTTCCATTCCCCTATTCTTTTCTAATTTGGCTGTAAATTACTTTATACAGTTATGTAAAAAAAAAAATGAAAACACGATCTGTATCCACACTTGCCAGAGTTATGCATAATACAGCTCATAGCCACATATTAGAATAACAAGCCAAAAAAAGCATTAAAGCATTTTAGTTTTAAGCTAAAGGAGGTATATTTGCTACTTAGTTTTAATATCTTCCAGAAGTTTTAAAGTTGTATGTGATCTCTGTTTACTAGGTCTTAAGCTGCACAGTTCCGTGAAAGCCCACAGTCGAAGTGGATCAGTCACAAAAAGCAAACAGGGGTTCTGACGTGCCATGAAGAAGTATCCATCCCTCTCCAGAGAGTCATGAATCACCTCTCATTCTCAGCAATGTCAACATTGTTTACAGAGAGTTTTCAAGCACCATTCCTTATGAATAGTTATTTTTATAGAAATCTAAGAAGCAACTGCCAAAGATTAGAAGGGGTATACTTAAACATTCCATTTTCTACTAGTAGAAAAAGTTACCCTCCAGTGGCAGGGTCAATATCCTCCAGTGGCAGGGTGAATATCCTCCAGTGGCAGGGTGAATATCCTCCAGTGGCAGGGTGAATATCCTCCAGTGGCAGGGTGAATATCCTCCAGTGGGCAGTAAAGCCTAACTCCTAGAAAATCTACCCAACGCTCTCAGTCGTTGCTGTTTTCCCATTACTGGTTTGCGACCGATTCATGTTGTTACAGGCAGGTACTGCAGAACCTGATTTTTCCGTTAGCTCTACAAAAGATTAATCAGGCCTTCCACAGCAGTAGTAATTTAAATTTTTAAAGCTCTATTTACATGTTTAAAGCAATATTATACTAACCAAAGCAAGTACTACACATGATACTGCTTCTACAACTTCAGACAAGTTACAAATCTTGTAGTAATTGCAGCAGGTATTAACACAGTTGTGTAACAATAAGGTAGCAAGCCAGATGAACAGAACTGACAGCTTTAAGGGTAGTGCACCACTGACTCTTCCTGTGTGATGTACTTATACCTCTTCCTCAGTGACTGAAGAAGGTCTAAGAGGCAAAAAGGAGCCTCTTAATACAAGTAGTTCCAGACAGTATTCAAAGAAAGTACATTGTCTTCCTGGGGAAATATTTTATGGTAATTTCACAGAATAGGTTTCACAGAATCCCTTTCTAAAAATACCTGCAATTATACAAGATTTCTGCACTCCGCCATGAAGTTCCACAACCCACAGATGCAATGTAGCTTTTAGTAGATGTGTTCTGCACCGTGTGACAGACATACCAGAGGTATTGGCTGAAGTTGCCCTTGTGGCTCCCAATAAGACAAAACTATGAAATACCAGGTTCTCAAAATAAATGATTAGTTGAAGGTCATACTCCCAAACAGTAAGTGCCAGACAACAAGTAAGTGTAAACACAAGGTGAGGATAACCACTTAATGTATTTTAACAAAGTTAGGACACCACACAAAAACAGTTGCTCCCTTATAATCCAATTAAAAAGCACTTTTTACTAAATTTCCATATTTTCCAAATTACAATTCATAATGGGAAAAAAAACTTGTCAGTATTCTTTATTAAGTGGCTCCCCTATCTCCCCACTCCAAGATATGCAGTCTATCAAATGTTAGTGGTACGTACAGAACAGCTAATAATTTTTAATCGAGATGACTTTTTAATCAAGTTCTTGAGTCCAGTTGATCCAGGCATGCTCTAATCAAGGAGGAGGGAAAAGAAAGCAAAGCAGAACAGTGCAAATGTAACTGCATTAATTTGCCTTTGCATTTCTAAAGGGGGAAAAAAAGCTCTGGGCTCAGTCTAAAGCTCTTAAGTTTGCATAGATTGATGCCTAAGAGAGGCCTGTATTGACTAAACCCTTTCAAAATACAATTTCTCTTAACAGTTAAGACCACTGGAACATTTCACAGTGTGTCATTTAGTTACATCAAGCTAACTGGAGATAAGCATCCCATTTATATTAGTGCCATTCCTCAGGGACCAAGTTAGTTTTCAGTAGCCCTAGTGCTTAAGAGTTACAAAAATAGATAAACTAGAATAAATTTCTGGTAACATAGTGTAGTATCTTATAGCCTAGCGGAGTCGGTGTGTTAAAAAAGTAAAAGCATTCGCATCATAAGGTAACTTTTAGTTTCTGTACAAATGGTTGACAGCAGA